TTTTTTTTCTGATACTGAAGGTGTGGCTGCTACTATTGCTTACAAGAAGTTGTTATTTGTATTCTCCCATCATATCTCTTAAGCTTACCCTAAGATAGCACTGTTTTTGAGCAACACTATGTTGAAGCCACATTGCGGGAAGATTCAAATAACTCTTCACATGGAGAGCACTATCTTGGTGCATCTTTCAGTGCCTCAGGCCTGGATCTCCTATGCATCTCACACCCAACTAGCCCAGGTTTGAAAGCCTACCACTACCCAGTTGAACCCAGAATGGGGAGGAAAGAGCATTTAAATTCTTTGGGCTCAGAACTGCAATATCAATAAAAGTACTGCTCCAAGATGTTGATTTTTCTCTCCAGAACAAAATATTAACTGAAACTCGACTTCAAACAACTGTAGTTTACTGAGAATTTTTTTTTTTTTACAATTTAAAGAAATAGGAAATACTTTGGTGTAAACAGGAAGCCTAGTTGGTGACTTCATATTCACGCAATGCTTTTTTTTCGGCTGAAGTATAGTCAGGGGGGGAGTGGGATGAGGCAATCTAGAAGACAGCAGAGTGTGAAGGAAAAGAAAGTTGACTACATCCACCTGCAGATGTTAGACAATATGAGGGAAAGTACAAGAGCCAGGAAGATGATATGTTCATTTCTGGCTAGTGTACAGCTGGATTTCAGGCCAAAACAAGTGAGGTTTTATACCTTAGAATATAAAAAAACTTTCCTCTTATCAGTAAGCCCTGTGGAATTTAGAGTTATTATTTGTAGTTCTACTTCATTGGGCAGCGTTTCTTGACTACAATTAATCACTTTAAAGAGTTAATTATACAGAGTCATTAATTGATTATAGAATCAAATTAGCATGGTGGTTGAGAGGTTGAACTGGAGCTGGGAAATCCTAAAGTCAGGCTGCTATCAAGCCACAGAAGGCACTAGATGATTTTGGACCAGTTTCTTTCTCTCAGGCAAATCTACCTTACAAGGTAACCGGAAGTAATCTTTCATTTGATCTCCACATATACTCTGTTTCAATCTCCAGAGAAAGGGGAAATCATGCATGCAATAATACTTTCTTTTTTGAAAGATACATCAGTGAGCCTAGAATGGCTGCTGCAACCCATAGCAGCTATTCTGTGCATAAAAGAAAAAGATTTAAAACACATCCCACATCCTGTCATTGTGCATACTAGGTGATTTTCTATGTCTGTCCCCAAATACACACACATGGTGTTACAGAGGACATCTGCATGCATGACTAACCTTAACAGAAGCCTCAAACTACACATTTCCTGGCAATTGTTCTTCAATTTGAGTAGTTTGTTTGATGGTTTAGGATATTCATGTATTCTCTACTCATGTACCCATTGATAAAGATAAAAGTGAATCTAAATATATATCTTTAAATAATGATTTCTATTGAGGTATTTCCTTACAATGTATAACTTATTCTTAAAATGCAATATAATAGACTTACAAATGAAAACTACAGTTATTGGAAATATACTAACTCATCTATCTGTATTCCAAACTGCTGTTTTTGATTTATAAAATAAATCAGCTGCATCCAAATATACAGTGATATCTTTGCAAAATTTATAAATAAAAAGCTAAAAATATAGGCCCACAGAGACAAAAGTGAGGGCAACCCCTTCAGAGGGAGACCATAACAAAATTAAGGAAAGTTTTTTTTATCTAATGTTAAGTTATGGAAGGCTTTTTCAAAAGAATTATCATCCGGAAACACAAAATGCAAATTAGAGTAATTTATCAGATCACAAGATATTGCATAGTACAGATCTGCAAATCTATATATAAATATCTGGATAAGTTAGCTGCAGATACTTGCCATGCCACAACACTGAGTTTCAAATAATCACTATAATAATATAATTAAAGCAAGAACAATTTTTATTAAAAAAAAAAAACTTTAATGCAATCATACCTCATCTGGGACCATAACAAGAGGGTATTTGTCTTCAGAGAGAAAGTTAAAGAGGCACCATAGTTTGAAAGCATCTTCATGGGATACAACACTGTTCCCGTTCCTATCTGGATTATAATTCTTCTTTGCTGTCAATGTCCAACAAAGTTCATCAAAACTCTCCTTGACAAAAGTTCCTTCTGCTACCTGCAAAAGCAAAGCAGAAGTTATTCATTTTTATTGAGAGACAAATAATTGTTCTTCAGAATGGGCTGAGAAACCCCAGCCAACAGATAGTTCCAAGCCCCTAATTGTTACCAAAATTTGGCAGCAAAGTCAGCCACATTTGCTTGTCAAATGTGTGCCAATTCCTTAGTGCAACTCCAAAGCCAGAAAAAAACATCTCTTCCACTGGCTCGCCAAAGGGCATGAAGGCTGAGTTATGAGTTATAAATATAGTAATATTTAATCTCTGAGAGAGAGAGAGATGGGCAGTACCTAAATCTGACAAATAAATAAATAAGGACATAAATCAGTGCTGTATTTATTTATTTTTTGCCATCAGTGTATTATCTCTCATATCATGGTGATGGGGGAGGTGACTGTATATTATAACTGATGGTTGCTTGATGCAGACTTGAGCCTTCTTGATGCACAATTTAATCTCTTTATCACAATGCTATACCAGCTTTCTGCTTTGTGTGCTTTGTTCATTTCCTCTATGCAAAAATATTTGCCTTCAAGTAAAGCAGTATATAATCACTGACTGGCTCTTTCACTGAGGTTAGGATTTGTTTGCTTAATTATTTTTTCATACTTTGGACAGCTCTATGTATTTATGCTTTGCACCAATTTTCTAGCTATTTTTCATGATTTAATCAGGATTTCTAGCCCACACACATACACTATCCCTTTGCTAGTATCTGCCATGTCCTTGGTATCTTCTTGTCACTTACTTTATTACAGGCAAAAAACTATTTGGGTAGTAGACATGGCACCAATAAATAAGCATTTTTACTGCAATGGGAATAAAGCTGCACTGGTCAGCCGATTCCTCTCTATCCACATAGCCTAGATCAGGGGTAGACAACCTCGTCTCTTTTATGACTCATGGACTTCAACTCCCATAGCTGACTCAGGAATTCTGGGAGTTGAAGTCCATGAGTCATAAAAGCCGAGGTTGCCTACCCCTGACCTAGATCATCCTTATACCTGTTATAATCTTAATTCTAAGTTTCTTCTTGACATCTTTCCCACAACTTAACCTCCCTTGGCCTTTTATTTCTTACGCTTAACATAATTAATATTTCTTCCTGGAGAAGCTCTAACTCTCGATGTACTCTAACTCTTGCTCCTCCTCCACTGATGGAACTATCTACAGAATCGTAGTAGGGGACTCCCGTGTTCTCCTTCTTTCTACGGAAGCAGTTCTGTGTTCTATGGTAACTATAAAAAAGTGGAAGTACTTTAATGTGCTTCCATGGGAGAAAAGAAGCAAACTCTTGGCTATCTTTTCCTTTCCAGTGAAGAAAAAGAAGAAAAAGAAATTTCTTCTTCAGTAGTGCTGAGTATAAATAGATTAGTGCTAGGTTAATAAATAAACTCTACCCCTAGGTCTAGGAGCAAAGCCAAGTTTTCAAATATGTGAGAACATCATCAAAGTGAGAGTTGTAAAGATCACAACTTTTGACCTTTGACTGAAGAGAATAATACCTTCCCACAACAATGCAGCTAATATCCCTTTCTCTCTATCTTCCTCCCTATGCACCATGCAGGCTTTATTCTTCCTCTTCCTCCTTCCCGTTTGTCCATTTAAATGTTTGTTTGGTGCCTTCCTTACTTTAAAAGTCATAAACTGATAATTTTTAAAAAATGTATAAACAGTTCTGGGGATGGAGCAAGAAATACTGGAAACATTCTATCGCTAACCTGCTTATAAACTAGCCAAACTGATTTTTTCTGAGTTTCATACTATAAATAACTTTGAACTTTAGACCATAACAGAATACATGGAGTTCTGTAAACACTGCTATAATTATATATACCTGTAGCATGCAGTTAACATGGCTGCCATTATCAAAAGATAAAGATTTGATTATCATGGGATTTTTCTGACGTTTAAAAAAGTGTTATCGTAAAGGTTTGGAATTATAATTCTGACTGTTCTTCTGCTGTAAGAAAGGAAGGAGATATGAAACATGTATAGATGCAAGTCTGAACAGCTTCAACTCCACCATCATGGCCATGGAACTGTGGTCAAAGTAATTCCAGATCAATTTTCAGAAGTTTCAGGAACCTGATATTCTTAATACATTATAAAGACAACATACTAATTCTTAAGCAAATTGTATTCAGAATTTTCCAGTTTTCTCTGTTGTTGTTGTAAATTAATTTTCTCCAATTGCTTGCACTCAAATATATTATATTACAGTATACTCCCCCAAAGTTCCCAGTAAGCATAACTTTAAGCCATTATATTTCATATACCAACACATTGTGAGCACATCAAGGTTAGGCATACTATTATAGGTCCTGTTTCACACCTGTGCTGCACTTTTTTTTTAGCACATTCCTGAATAGAGGGCTTTCCAACAATGTGCTAATTAATTGTTGATCCCAGCAAAATTCCTGTGATTCAGAATAACAATCTGTCTTGACATTAGACAACAGCGCATTCAATTAATAACGTTTTTTTCCTATGTAAGCCACATAAACATGTAGCCATGTTATCCTTTGGGAGTAGAGATCTAAAGGCTTCTCTTTTTATGGACTAGAAACCATTTTCCTTCTTGCATATGCAAAGTAATTGTAAAAACAAAGAACTAACTGGTCAAAAAGTCTTCCTGAAAACATTAACCTCCCAGCAAAAACTGGAACTACCAGCTAATCCAGGGGTAGTCAACCTTGGATCTTTTATGACTCGTGGACTTCAACTCCCAGAATTCCTGAGCCAGCTGTGCTGGCTCAGGAATTCTGGGAGTTGAAGTCCACGAGTCATAAAAGAGCCAAGGTTGACTACCCCTGAGCTAATCCAAAGTATCAGAAAGGCTGAACTTCAGGCTATCAAAGTGAATGAAAGAGAAAAAGGCTTACCTTGTCCAAGATATACTTGTTGAGATATGGCATATATCCCTGACTCGATACTGGGCCATCATCATCATCTTTGAAATGCTCCTCCAAAGCTACAGGATCATGGGGAATACAAAGCACAGTGTAGAGGTTGTGAGAAAGCACCTGGGACAATAAGGGAACAAGTATTCAGTAATGAATTAGATACAATATGGGATGCCATGCTTGTTTGTTTGTTTATTTTTTACATTGTTGTCTCATTCACATGCTAAACAGGATGAACTTAGTGGCTGTCATTCTCACATCCTTACGGAAACTATAATTGGCCCTCTTTCTGAACAGACATATGAACAACTAGCATATCTGCTAATATGTCCATCCCCCAATATTATTGACTAGGGAAAGGCCAGATCAGATAACAAATTATTGCAGTCCCTTCTCCCTTAAAAATTATTTATCTGAGCAAAGATAAAGTATTCAAGACTTTTAGAACCTCTCAGAACATTAACTAACATCTTACGACAACAGAATATACAGCCTTGAATGCAAAATAATGTACACAATGTACTTTAACCCTTTCCCTCTGTACTACTTCCTTCTCTCAACTAAAACGGGTTTGTATCTTTACATACAGAAGACATTTATAATGCCTGTGTGAAGACTCTCTTCTGGCTCTGCTCATAAAATGCAATGAACCCACAAACTAGCCAACCCTATTTTAGCCTCCTCGTGCAGGTTTTCTTAACCAGGGTTCTGTGGAACCCTAGGATTCCACGAGAGGTCACTAGGGATTCTCTGGAAGATCATGATTTTGGAAAAGCAGACAGCGAACAAAAACCCTTCAACTTCAACACTGGGTTGGATGCCCAAGCATGCAGACCTTGTGTGGAAACAGGAATTGTGCAGGCTCATGCAAGCAGGGAAGTGACCAAAACACCAGCTGAGGAGGGAGTAAAAGGAGGGAGGAGGAGGAGAAGAGGGAAAAGCGTCTTGGTTCTGATAGTTTTCCCTTTTATTTTGCCAGAAGGAATATGTCAGGATCAAACTTGACCAGGACTAATCAAATGGAAGTTTCCTTCTGCAAAATCCTCTACTGATATGTACAAAGTAATAGTGTGAATTTACAATTCAACACGCAGAAGACTTTCAGAGTTCAAGGATCCAACCCACTTCTGTGCTTAAAGTAAGCAAGCCGTACTGTATACTTATTCAATTGACTATTTGGAGCACCGTGAAGTAAAAGGAACACTTTTACACACAAGTCTACAAGACATATTATCCGTGAATCCATTGAATTATTCATTTAATATAAAGATACAATATAAACTCTTCCAAAGTGGAGTACAATTTTTAAAATTTCCTACCCAATAAATATTATTTCATTAATATTTCCTCTATCAAGTATCCTTTGATTTATTTTTTGATTTACAACAGAACATGCTCACGGTGAAATCTTCTATATACCCATTCAGAAATTAATAGAGTTCAGTTGGACTAATTCTCTAAGAAATTGACTGCAATCTGACAGACTTAAAGGTCTCTCAGGCAGAAGTGTTGACATTAGACATTCTCTATGATGACAGGCCTATTCCAAATTCCAACTAGTATAAATGTATAATTAGATGTGTGTGGGGGGGGAGGGAAATCAGGTGGTTTCTCCGCAACCAAACAATGGAATAATTCACATGGATAAACACACTCCTTTAGAGAGGTTCAATTCAGGTTCATCTGGGATTTGTAGGGCCTATGTTTATGTTAACTTATCAAAGAAAGTATTTGTGTTTTGCACAGAATGCATATAAGGGGCTTCTTCATTAAAAAGGATTGCCAAAATAGGGTCTGAAAACACTAATATACTCATTTTACCAGCAAATGCAACAATATGAAAGTGTTTTACAGAAACAATAATAAAATAAGATTAAAAAAAAAATCTCTGAAATGGCTAAATCTTGCACAAGATCATGCAGGATTTCAGGCAAGACTGAAACTTCTTAAGATTTGAGGCAATCCTAAGTGGCTTTGGTGTTCTTGTGAGAGACTGAACACAAACTACAATAATCAAAATCTTGCAAAACTGTAGCCATTATGCCCTTTCATCCACCCCCTAACAGAATGCAGTTATATTTGATACCTTTAAAAGCTGGATTAAATTCTGGATTAAAGAAAAGAATCTTCTCAGCTAAGAAAAAGAATTATGTAATAAGATTTTATTAGTTAAAATATAGCAAAGATGAAATAAAAACTACAATTTTAGGTACATTTTCCTGATACAGTGGAACCTACTCCTGAGTCAACATAGGTAGGATTGTGCTGCAAGCATCTTATCTTAACCTTTAGATAACAAGAGCTGAAAACAACTCAGGTAACTGGATTCAAGTAAGGCCAAGTGATATAGTCCCTTTTATACAGACTTTGACCTAGAGCTATCAGTCAAGCTAGTTATATTGTTCTTGTCACAATTGTCAGAAATCTTCCCCAACTTTTCAGGCTTCCTTCACCTTGTCCGTACACATTTTCATTGTTCTCCTTCATGCTACTGGACATGTTAAGCACTGCAAAAACTCCCAAAACACATTTCAGATAATTATCTGGCTTTGGGAGAACTATTGGATATTATGGGAAATAAATTTAAAAGGACGTTTAACCCAAACTGCTTAAATTTAAAGAATGCATATAAAAATGATCAGACTTAAGTCTATCTCAGGTAAGGCAACATTTTTTTGGCCAGAAACACATTTAAGCTATAGAATATGTTCTGCATGTTTTTCCAAAAAGGATGCCATTAAGAGCATTATCTATTTACAAAACTAGTAGATATGACTACTTACAAATTGTCCAAGTAATAGAAGTTTGTTTAGCTTGTCTTATTCCCTGGTATTCCCTACCATTCTCACTTATTTTGGGTGTGCCCGTGTTTTTTGAGCAACTTTTTGAGCATATTTCCAACACAGCTGTGGAGAGCCATCAATTTTATCTTCTAAGAATGCTATTGGTCTATCTGTTTAGAGATACTTATATAGAAAGACAAGGCACCAAGGATTCCACAAGGCACTTTGTTCTGTAGGCTACCAACTGCCCACTTCAGAAATTTTAATGTAGTTGTTTATATGGTTTTTAAATGCATGCAATGTATCATAAGTTGCACAAGGCTTTGGCAGTTGGTAGTGTATACATTTGTAAAACACAGTAAAAATAAATGGAAGCTTTCACAGACATTTTGTTCTCTGTGGAGCCCACACTGTTTCAAGCAAAAAAAAATCTTAGTGTACAAGTGTTGACTCCTGGTGAGTGCCTGGACAGTTCCTATAGATTTTTGGCAAGATTCCAGAAGTGGTTGCCATTGCCTGCTTCCTAGGGGTGAGAAAGAATGACTAGACCAAAGTCATCCAGCTGGCTTTGAGCCCAAGGCAGGATTGGAGCTCACATAGCTACTGCCTTAGCCACTACACATGTCTGGCTCTTGGAAACTCACAATCAAAAGTTACACGAATGACAATAGTCATGATCCTCCTGCTCCCCAGTGAATAGCTTCTTTTTCAATATTTTTGTATTGAATCCTTCAAATTACTGGCTTTCACTACAACTTGGGATGGCAAATGCCATATCCTTAAGTAGATGCCTACTCTTCTAGATTCATGGAAGAGGGAACATCAAAAGCTATAATAAATAAAATTTGATAAATCTGCTGTGATATACCCATTTCCCTCTTTTTTTTCTATGCTAAAAATCCCACTAAACATTTAAACTAGCTTTCATATGTAAGTTATCACTGTCTGATCTTTGGGTTGCTTTTTTCTGCATTTTTTCACCTCGAAAATAATAGTGTTCAGTATTCAACATGATCACACATTTAATATAAATCAGTGATAACGCTGGCCATTCCGTTATGTTTTGCCTTTCCTAAGAATCAACAGCAGGGGTCTAATGTTCTTAATTACAGCCATATATCTGGTCAACTTTTGCATCAGCTAATGGAATTTCATGGAGCAACTGTGTTATATGGGTACTATGAGAAATGCCAAAATCTGCCTATGCCACTGCATTCTACACCAGCTGCAGCTCCCAAATACTCTTCAAGGGCAGACCCATGTAGACCAAGATACAGTAATCCAGGCAGAACGTTACTAAGGCAGAAGTCATCATAAGCAGGATCTACCAGTCTGGGAGTGGTGCAGGAGATGAATCTGGACAAAACACAAACACATCAGCTATGGCTCCTGTCTGCTCCTGACAGGAGCCAGGAATCCAAAAGAACCCCCAAACTGTGTATCAACTGATTGGGGAAGTGCACCCCCTGCAGAGTTAAAGATGAAAACCCCTTAGAGCCAAGGGGCCTTTAAACTCACAAACAGTCTTGCCAGGATTTGATGACAGAGCTATTTGCTTCTGGAAGTATTTATACCCACTTACATTATGTGCTATGTAAGATAGCAGCCAAATGAGAGAAGCACAAAGTTTTTTTTTTCTTAGAGATGAAAGAAGCATTGGGAGAACATGTGAAAGAGGTGCAAAACAATTGCAACTGTGAGTCTCATCCCCAAAGGATCAAGAAAAATATTTAATAGTCAGAGCGACCCACCATGTTTTTCGAACTGAGTAGTCCATTTAAATACACGATATGCCTTAGTTGTGTTCAAGGAATTATCCAAAGGAGCAAAGCCCTCTTCCAAAGTTCATCTGAAGAGGCAAAGACTTGAAAATGGTTACAATATAGGGTTACATACTCAGCAGCACCACCTCCCCATCTCTCTGACTGCTCTATGCCTTGCACAGGAGGAGGTTAGGCTTCTAGATTCATGGTGTTTGTTTCTAAATTTTTATGTATTAAGGGCTTTCTATGGTATTTTTCATAGGTTTAACGTCCTAGAATTTCTGGGAATGGGCAGCATTCAAACAAAAGCTAAATACTATACATCCAGCTGAGAGATCATAAGAGGAATTGTAACTGTGTTCGCTGAAATGTAAGCACATCTCTACAATGACCTGGGATCATAAAGCAGGATCCTGAATTCCATAGAGAGCTTTATTCATTTTTCAAGTGAGTACAGCTATCCTATGAATCAGATGACAGCTGGAAGGAGTAGGAAGTTAGAGGCTGCCTACTGTTCCACTAGGGCATTTTCAGGCAAATGCTTGAAGAAAGCCAATCTTCTCTTCACTTGCCA